ATGATCCTATATTACTCTTCCCCATCAATGTGTGTAGGACCCCAAAGGATCACCATTAAAATTGGTATGGATCTCTAAAAAAGTTATCACATGAGTGGGTGTGGGACTTGACTTTTCTATAAATCCGTTGGGGTCCTACACACATGGGTGGGGGAGGGTCTTATAGGATCATTATATATATATATGAAGCACCTACAAAACGCCTATAGGTGAAGCTTTACATTACTTCACCTACACCTTATCATTGTCCAAAGTTCATCACACGGTCATCGATGTTTGATAGTGTTTTAATTTTTATAATTATTATACTAATTATATTTATCTAAAATTTGGGATGTGTGTACATATGATCAAGTCACATAAAAAATATATTAAAAAAGTAATAGTCATAAAATAAAATGATAAAATTACCCTTGAAATTTTGTAGGGGTATTTTATGTATTTTTTATCATTCAAATTATTTGTTTTATATTTTATTCATGTGCATCTCATTAAGGCACACACCGGACAAATCATGTTTCAAGTCATTCCTATCTGTAGAAAAAAAATGAAAAATAAAACACTATCGGACAATCGTGATTGTACGATGAACTTTGGACGGCGATGAGGGTAGACGAAATCACTGTTTATTTTTTCCTATAGACATTGGGAAGGCTTTTCCATATATATATAATTTGACATGTAATGGTTAGGTTAAATGGTCGATCTTTGCGGCACCTCTCAAGCCATCTTATTGCTATGTAATGGCTAGGTCAAATGGTCTCATGGTATGCAATCCCTTTTTGAGTGAGCCTCACTTCTATAATATAATGTGGACATCTTGTATAATTTATTTCTATTTTATAATATGCAATTTCGGAAGTCACTTTCAAATACTTAATGAGTTATTCATGAAATTTTGAAGACTTAAAACTCTTATTTTTCCTTTTTTTCTTTTCTTATCTATATATCTCAAAGTCAAAATATACAAAAAGACCATTTACTTTTTAGTACAAGGAGGTCACAATTATTATTGTCCATTAGATTTTAAATTATGTGATTGTAAGTATGTTATTTACTACATTTAAAATTAAAAAATAATAATATCTCGACCCTTGTGACATATCTGAAGCTATCTAATTTGATATCTACTAGCTAGGTATGATTGTGACCTCCTTGTAGTAATGGAAAAATGGTCTACAATTCCTTTTTTAAGTGGACCTCAATTCTATAATATAAGGGTGCAGTTGGCATACAGATGCATCCGTAGTTGTAGAGTAGAGGTAAGGTGCACCTTCAAATTATCATGGTATCTAATTTTGGTGTAAAATGTTTTTAGGATTATCTCAAAATCTATTTTTATATCTAATTATAAAATTTTAAATTTAAAAAATAGTTAAAATCAAGTAGATCTATAAACATATGAAAATATTGAAAATGGACAGTGTAGATAATCTGTTGTAAAATGCATTATTTTTTAGACTTATTTTTTTTTTATCTTTCATTGTCATACATCTCGATGTCGAGATGATCAATCAAAAGGTTTTTGAACATTAAAACTACCTTTTCCGATGGGTTTTTGAGGTGCATCCGTAGTTCTACATTATAAGGTTGTATCCTTATACATACTTTTTCCATAATATATTATTGATAACTTGTATAAATTTTTCTATTTTGTAATATGAAATTTTGGGAATCGCTTTGGAATACTCAACGAGTAATTCATTAACAAAATACATATATAATTTCTTGAATGAAGAATTGCTGGTCTAGAAAAACAAATTGCTTGTGATTTATGCTATACATTTTATGCAAGTTTATAGTATGTGATCTACATGTGGCAATGGAAAGGTTCCGCCCGGCCAAGAACCTCTAGGGCACGAGCCCGGGCCATAAGATTTGGCGCGAGCACAGAACTGGAGCTTGGGAACTTGGCCTAATGTTGGCGTCGGGCTTAGGCCGTCGTCAGTAATGATTTGGCTGGACCCTCTTCGGCCTAACCCTATCTTTTTTTAGTTTTCCTTTTTATTTAAAAAATTCAATATCTACCTACTCCACCCAGCCCCACCGCAGTAACATAGGTAGGCTACCTAACACAAGAATAAGGTTGGGCTTGGAATAAAGCATATTTAACCAAATCCAAACCCAAGCCCACCCTCCCGAGTCCTAAGCTGGGCTTAGGCTAGCCTGGGCCCGGTCCATTGCCACCAAAACTTGGTGTCCTGAAAGTACTTATGCTCATAGTTTGGTGAGGGAGCATATACTCTTGTTCTTTCTAAAAACCTCCAGGATATATTTCTTGATGGTCGACCTCAAATGGTTCAAAAAAAAAAAAAACTTTGATGATGATATATTTATCAGTGAAAAATTAGCTGTATGAATTTCTGAGTACCTTCTCCGCCTTTTTCTCCATTCTTATTGACAAGGGCAAATGTGGCTTGTACAGGGATTGGTGAGGCTGCCTGGTTCAAAGTCAGAAGCAACAATAAGTGTCATCAAGGACGTTAGTGGGATTATAAAGCCATCCAGGTGCCTTATTCTAAAATGCAATCTTTCATTTATTATTGAAAAGTCAAATAGTTGAAAAAAAGTTATGACGATGATGATGATGACTACGACGACGATATGCTATAAAGCTCTCATGCTAGCATTGTTTATTTGATATGGAAAGTGCATATCAGTTCTAGCCCCTCCTATATGAATAATCGGGCTAGATTTGTGCTATTTTAATTAAATAATTATTTTATTAAAATAGCTGTGAGAGATATACTATTTAATATTTTAGATATTTGCCACTATTCCAACTTATCATGTGTATTTTGAAAATAAATCAATATGTATACGTAAAATATTAAATAGTTCTTCTCTCATAGGTATTTTGATAGATTTTCTTAAATAAATGATATAGATGTCTTGGGCGTACATCAAAATAGGTTTATCAGTGCCCATAACCTATGTAATAACCATGTCCATTTTTTATCTTATTTGCTCTATATTGTGCTAGTTGGCTTACAAAATCATCTCCGTCTATATTTTACTGTACGGAAAATGTGAGGTTTATATAATCGGCCTACCTTATACTATATAAGTAAGACACACTTCTAAATTTTACTAGAAGATGTGGTTCTAGTGTCGGAAATATTACAATAGCTTGACAATCCATGTTCAACCCCTAATTATGAAATTAAAAAATTTCAAAAACAGTGCAAATCGAGCATATCTATAAACACTTAGACAATCTTAAAAATAGAGGGTCTAGGTAACTTATTACAAGATGCACTTTTTAAGGAATTCGAATTTATTTTTTCTGTATATCTATACATCTCGATGTGGAGATGATAAATTGGAAGGTTTCTTAACTTTAAAACACTCATTTCTACTGGATTAGGTTTTTTAACTTCAGAACACTCTTTTCTATTGGATTAGGTGGAGATGATAAATTTGGAAGGTTTTTTAACTTCAAAACACTCATTTCTATTGGATTAGGTGGGGATGATAAATTGGAAGGTTTTTTAACTTTAGAACACTCATTTCTACTGGATTAGGTTTTTTAACTTCAGAACACTCATTTCTGTTGGATTAGGTTTTTTAACTTCAGAACACTCATTTCTACTGGATTATTGAGATGCAGCTTACTTTTTTTTTTGGGTAATTTAGTGAGGAAGACTGACCTTACCCTTGGGTAATTTAGTGGGGAAGATAGACCCTACCTGAAACATTCATTTCTACTGAATTTTTGAAGGTATTAATTGAGAGTATCAACAGTAGGAATGGATACCACGATGTGGTAATTGAATGTGGAGATGCTACCACCATGACCGCAGCCCCTTTCCTAGGTGCACCGTACTTCTATAGTAGAAGGTTGCAGCCTTATGTAAACTTTTTCTATAAATAGAAGGGGAAAAATAGTTGAGTAGCGTCACTGTATCAAATCCTTTGGAAGTCACTCTTGACTTGGCATGGCCCATAAAGCCAAAAGATTTCATGCACCTGAGGGAGCATATTGTCCATTTATTTCCTTGAATAAAACTCAAATTTAGAAGAAATTTTAGGATCCAATTTGGGGATGTAACATCACCCATACACTAGCCAACAATTTAAAATTGCACTCTTTATATACTATGAGTAGATCTAAGTGTTAGAAAAGTTAAAATACAATTTAATCTTTTAAGAATAATCATTTTTGGTTAGTTTCAAAAATTTTAAATTCAAAAAAATCTACTCAAGTAGGTTTTCTTCCCGAGGGAGTAGATGAAAATCATGCTCCCACATAGCATACTAGCACCCATAAAGCCAAAACGAATTGATGCTTCCAAAGCTATATGGGGTGGCAACGGGTTGGGTATGGGTATCGGTCAAGTCCGGCTGGACCCGGACCAATACCTGAATAAATTCGGGTCCAGGTTTTAGATCTGAACCCTATCTGTTGGGTCCAAAAATTGAACCCATACCCGTACCCGTCGGGTCTCGGGTCCATTGTCACCTTCACTATGAGCTTTTTTTGTTTTGCCCCTTTTTTTTATCATCATATACCCGTATTATTGGACAACAAAGTCACAATTACCTACTATTAGATTTCAAGTGGTGTGATTTGTTATTTAATAGCTAGAGATGACAACTAGTTCTAATTATATACGATCTTTAATACGCCCAATTGAATAGAGTTTAAAGTAAAGTATTTCATCTCTAACATGTTATGGGTACGGGTCGGATCCAGTTGGAGCCAGAAATTGACCCATATAGTGTTTAGGTCCATGTTTTAGACCCGGACCCGATCCGCTAGGTCGAAATTCTAAACCCATATTGGACCCATGTCGGGTATACTGGCGGGTCCCAGATCAAGTCCAGGTCCATTGCCAACCCTAAAGCCATATTTCCAAAACTTCCCTCAGGGCCGAGGGAGAGAGGGCATCATGGGAATTATAGGGTAACATGGGTATTTTTGGCAGCTATGATCTCAATTGTAAGACAAGTTTGTGATGGTTGCAGATTAACGCTCCTATTAGGGCCCCCAGGATGCGGAAAGTCCACTTTATTAAAGGCACTTGCTGGAAAGCTGGATGGCTCCCTCAAGGTCCCCTCTCTCTCTCTCTCTCTCTCTCTCTCTCTCTCTCTCTACTACTACTACTACTACTCTACTACTACTACTACTACTACTACTACTACTACTACTACTATAATAATTAATAATAATAATATATATATATATATATATATATATATATATATATATATATATATATATATATATATAGTATAGTAGTAGTACG